AGCAAATGCCAAAACCTCCTGCTGCCAAGCCCCACCAAAGAAGATCGACATGTCACTGGTTCCTCCAAATCTTGAGGCCCAGAGTCCATGACTCCCCCACCCCATTTTTTCTATCTCCATTCCTCCCTTCCAAGGAAATATAACCACAATCTCACCCAAACCAGACACCCTAGAGCCCACGCAACAGCAGGCTACACAGTCATGTCACATTACCATTGCAACAGAGCTGTCATGATGGGGAGGGATCAACAGGCAACCTCCATTCACCACCCCACATAAATACACACATCTCAAGGACTCCAGCCACAGTGCCTTTACTGAACTCAAAGTCTCAGAAAAACCTGCAAACCAGGTTCTTTCCTGAAACCCTTCCCCCAGACTTCTTCACTGGGAGAGAAAAAAAGAAAAGAAAAATTACGCCTTCCTATGCAGAGTTTAGGGCTGTTGTGCATAGGGTCGCTATGAGTCGCAAGCGACTCGACGGCACATAACAACAAAGAACAACAATGCATGTGTGATAAAGTCATTAAAACTGTTCCTTTTGGTGATGTGGAGCATTAATTTGTAAACTAACTTCAAACAGTTCTCTAGGTCATATAGTGCTGGTGTGTCCACTTGCCATATGGCGCTTACTTGTGGTCGCTGTGAGGTTGAACACTGTGATACTGATGTGTCTAATGCGTTAATGGTTGGTTACCCAATATGAACAGAGTGGGGTGGAGCTCCCTGATTAAGACAAGCTTGGAAGGAGGAGTGGCATCCACTTCTGTAATAGCTTGCTTCTGGAAACCCTATGAACCTGGAGAAAGGATGAAAGACACCCAAGTGTTGAGGACTTTCCTTCATAGGGTCACTGAGCCGCCTGCGACTCGACGGCACTTAACAACAACAACAACATGCATGTCTGATTGACATGGAGTCTCCTTTAAAACAAAAGTGCCTGCCAAAATAACATTTTCTTCATAAAGCCCAGAACATGTGGATGTGAGTCTCTCACAACATGTCTGACAAGGTCTAATTCAAGTCCAGAGAAATCAAAGGAATAGCCTGAAGAGGGCAACGATCAGATTTGACCTGAAAGCATCAGAGTGACAACGGTAATGAAAATATAAAAAAGCAACACTCAGAAGGAGATGGCTGAGCCCTATCAGAAAACACAGCTCTAGTAAAACCAGGTGTGGCTTTTACCCTGCTCTGAATTACAGTAGCACAAAAAGTAGCATTAAACCCATGAAGACAGGTGAAAATGAGAACTTTGTCTTTTCATCTTCCCTTATGAAATCTTTTTTCAAGTGAATGAAATTCTTCATTCTGTGAAGAACCCTCTGAACCCACACTGCCACTCCACCCTGGCCCAGTTGGTTTCACCATCTCCAGCTGATCCTGGGCACCTCTCACCATCTATGATGTTTGCTGCAGAGACCACTGGAATCTTCCCCGCAACACTGAGAGATGCAGATGAAGATATGTTTCTGGATTAGGTTTGTTCCTCAGATTCCACTGACTCACCCCATCAAAGGGCTCTGCTATTTATTTATTTTTATTATTATGGATGACTCACTATCTTTTTAAGTTCTGGCTGTTTCCAGTATGGGTCAGTTCAGACTTGACAGTACATAAACAATAATTCTAAAGGTTTTTAAAAAATTAAGACCATGAACTTGTATGAGAGACTTTATGTAAGCCACTCTCCTTACTCTCTCCTTCTGCGCACCAGTAACACCTCCTGAAGCCCTTTGCTTTGTAACTCACAAGTTTGTTCTCTGTAGGTCAGTTCCCTGTCCTGTAGGTAACCTGAACAATGAGTCCTGTTCCAGAACTTGAACCTTGTCTAAACCCTGTTAGACAAAAAGGCAGACATGACTCCAGCTAACAGAAAAATGGACAGAGCCTCAAAAAGTTCAGCCAGCCATTACCACTAGGCTAGACCCATACCTCCCCCTCAAAAAAAAAAAATGTTTACTTGTTTTCTGTTAGTTTCATGGTGTTGTCACTATGTTTAATATGAAAGAGCTATTTCTTTGACCACTGGGCTAAGACGGAAATAAACTATGAACCTTAATTTTCAGGTACCAAAATTTTAGTCAAGCTGATAGTTTGACATTGAGAAAATGGTAATCACATAACACTTAATTCTCCTTATACGGAATCTATACTTAGACCAAGAAGCTGTTGTGCAAATAGAGCAAGGGAACACTGCATGGTTTAAGATCAGGAAAGGTGAGTTGTCAGAGTTGTACTCTTTCTCCAACCCATTCCATCCATATGCTGAGCAAATAACTCGTAAAGCTGCACTCTATATAGAGGAATGTGGCATCAGGATTGGAGGAATGCTCAACAACCTGCGTTATGCTGATGACCAATTTTGCTTGATAAAAGTGAAGAGGAGTGGCCGGTCTGTGGAAAACATATTATACTGAAAAGTGACGGGAAAATCCTCAAAGAGATAGAGTGACACAGCGACAAACATGTCAGAGATCGTGAAAATGATATATAATAGGGCAAGTCTCCATAGGCTCATTATAAGACATAGTCAACTGAATGATGCTTAACGACAATATGCACCAAAGATGTTGCAAAAAAAAAAAAGCACTTTCATCAGGGCTCACAAATGCATGGAACACTAGTTCCCTGACTGGCCAATAAATATTAGCCAGCCTAGCTGGTAACTTCTGGAAATTGGACTTGCTGTCCTCCAAGCTTTACACGTACAAAGAATCTATTTTCAAAAAAGTGCAGCCAGAATGTTCCTTGTAGGCAAGGATGGAAAAGCTTCGTCTCACGTACTTTGGACATTATTCTCTGAAAGGCAATTCCTTGGAGAAGGACATCATGCTTATAAAGGTAGATGTTCAGTAAGAGAAGAAGGCCCTCAGCCAGATGGATTGATACAGTGACGGTAGCAAGGGGCTCAAATGTGTCAGAGATTGTGATGACGGCACTGGATATGATAGGGTTCAGATCTATTGTTTACAGGGTCGCTATGAGTCGTACCTGACTCCATTGAACCTAAAGACAAGAAGTAATTGCTCGCAACCCTTATCAGTCGGCCCCCACCCCCTTCCCCTAAAGGCACTGCCTGCAGGAGCGCACTGCGCAGGCGTGCTGGGAAGTCCCGCCTCTGCCAGTCTGGAGCCAATCATTGCCCGGAGCGCGTCAGCCTTCACACCGGAAGCTGAGAGCAAATGGCGGGAAATCCGGGGCCTTCGGGCGCCAAGCTCCGGGGAGCCATGGAGCTGCCTGAAACGGGCGACGGTGCGGGGGACCGGCAGGGGCAGCCTTGGGAGCCGGGCTGGAGAAGGCTGGGGTCTCAGCGCTTCCCACGGGGCAAGGGTCTGGGCCCGGCGCGGGAACCGTGGTCTTGGAGATGGAAGCGGCCAAACACAAGGCTTTAGGTTTTCTTTCTAAAATCGCGGTCCTCGGAGTCCACGGCGTGGTCCACCCTTGGCGCTGGCCTTGACTTTGCGCCGTGGCGTCTGGCTGAGGTCTTTCAGGTCCAGTCAGCGAGCGGCCACGTGCGTCTCCGCAGACAAGGAGAGCACATGCTTAGGACGCACGCTGACCCGAGCTCAGTGCTGTCCACTCTGCAGCCGCTCAGCTCTGCCAGACCAGAGGTCCTGGCCACTGTCCCCAGGCTCGTCAGTGCCCTGACCCCTCAGTGTCCGCACCTGGTCACTGCTCTGACCCCTCTAAGTGTCCCCACCTGGTCAGTGCCCCGACCCCTCAGTGTCC